CCCAGGGATCCCACTGGTGTGGCTGCAAAGACTGTGGAAGTGGTTCCCAGGCTGCAAAGTACAGCCTACCTAGAAGGGGCAGAGGTGTCACACAGCACCAGGTATTCATGAGACAGGAAGAGAAGATAAGTACAGAGAGATGATAAACTGAGAAATGAAGAAAAGGAAAACTAGAGAAAAGAAAACAAGGAAAAAAAAAACAAAAAACAAAAAAAAAAGAACAAAGAAGTGTTCCCAGGGAACCCACTGCACGGCTGTGCAGACTGAGGAAGTAGCTCCCAAGCCGCACAGTACAGCCCAGCTAGAAGGGGCTTCCAAGCTGAGAAAAGAAAAAGAAAGCAAACAAACACAAACAAATCAAAACAGAACAAGTCAAAACAAACAAACAAACGAAAAGCCCTGGGGATCCCACCAGTGTGGTGGCACAGGCTGGGAAGTAGTTCCACAGTTGAGCAGCGTTTCAAAGCCTTTCAGGAAAAAGCAAAGATGGCACAAGGAGCCAGGTATTTGAGAGAAAGGAGGGGGACGTGGTGAGAGGTATGGAAGAAACCAAAAGCAGTGGAAAAAAGCAACACCAGCAACATACAAGTGGCACTCAGGGAGCCAGCCAGTATGGGTAGGTGGAATCCAAGCGGCACAGGGCTGAAGCCGGTGCCTCCTGGCCAAGAGACTGTGGCCGCAGGAAGCAGAGAAGGCCGAGTGGGGGTGAAGAAGGGTGGCGGGTGGGAAAGCGTGTATCACTGGTTACCAGTTGTTCTGTCTCCTGCTGGGAGCTCCGCAAAGCTGCTTTCCTGTACTCCCTGTTCGCCGATCTATGACAGGAGTCCCAGATGGCAAATCCATGCTGCATTAGCTGATAGGGGACCTCTGCATGTATCTCTCCTCGCTCTCTGTTCTCTGTCAGTTTCTTATTCCATTCAGTGCTTGGTTCAGTTCTTTATCTCTATATTTGATATTTAGGGTTTCAGGACTGATGTTTGTCTCCGTTTGACTTAGTTTTCTGGTCTTGGCCGTGGAGGGACGGCGTGGTGCTTTTGTCTATAGAGTCATGTTGCCCGGAAGTCTCTTCTCATTTTTTTCCTTTGTCAATTTGGCCAGTGGTTTGTCAATTTTATTGATCGTCTCAAAGAACGAGCTTCTAGTCATGTTGATTCTTTCTATGGTTTTTCTGTTTTCTACTTCATTTATTCCTGCTCTGATCTTCGTTATTTCCTTTCTTCTGGTGACTGTGCACTTCTTTTGCTGCTCTATTTCTATTTGTTCAAGTTGTAGAGTTAAGCTATTTATTTTGGCCCTTTCTTCTTTATTGATGTGCGCATTTATTGCTATAAATACTCCTCTGAGCACTGCTTTTGCTGTGTCCCAACGGTTTTGGTATGCTGTGCTTTCATTCTTGTTTGACTATAAGAATTTTTCAAATTTCATTTTTAATTTCTTCTATTACCCAATAGTTCTCGTGTAAGGTGTTATTGAGTTTCCATGTATTTAATTTTTTTTCCTGTTATGGATTTCTAGTTTTATTGCATTATGATCACAGAAGATGCTTTGTAACATTTTGAGGACAAACTCAGTATTATTTTAGAGCAGGGGTTGGCAAACTTATTCTGTAAAGGGGCAGATAATAAATATTTTAGGCTCTGTGGGCCATATAGTTTCTCTTACAACTACTCAACTTTGCTGTTAAAGCGGAAAAGAAGCCATAGACAATAGGTAAACGAATGTGTGTGGCTGTGTTTCAATAAAACTTTATTTAAAAAATAGGTGGTGAATGGATTTGGCCCACATGATGTAGTCTGCCAACCCCGTTTCACAGTATTCTATAGGCCCAAATGTTTGGTAGTAAAGAATAAGCTGGGCAAGGAATTTAAAACAGAAAATCAGATGGAGTTTAAATAGCTTAGGGTTACACCAGCAAAGCCAGCATCTAGAACCTTACCTATAAGCTTTTAGAATGTGGGCAGACAATTATTTATAGTTTAAAAAAAGAAAACCAAACTTTGCTGGGTAATCAGGAGGCCTTGCTATGTTAGTTCCTAACACGGTTACCTTTGAGCAAAATCACAACTCCAAGGTCAATTTCCTCATTTCAAATTTAACTGTTTATGCTCTGAGGGCTATAGGGAAATTCTATGATTGAGTCCTTCTAACACATAGGGTCAGATATTCAGAAGAAACATGGCAGCTGCTGCATCTGCTTTGTGCTTGCCAAGTGGATGCCAGGCATGGCAGGTCCATATTCTAGCAATGTAGTGGTCAGGAACTGTTCGGACATCAAAGAAGTCCAAGTCCCTTGATCTTCAAGATTTTGTTAGATGTTGGCTTAAAATTCCAAGAGTCAGTCAGGCAGTATATAGTTTCAAAGCAATGATTGCTACAGACATCTGGCTTTATTTGGTTTGATAAAACATTCTGAGCAAAGTAGCTACTAGAAATTGTGATCAGGACGTGTGAGCTGGAAACCTTGTGCTTTTATCTAATAAACTTCCTATTTCAAGGAACTGGCACTGAGCTAGGGATCCATTTCACTAAAACGGAGGAAAGACCAAAGGTGGTTGGTCAGAATGTTTGAACAACCTTATTGTACTAAAAGGATGATCTATATATCAAAAATGACAATATTGTCTTTTTATATTGTTACCTAGTTTTAGTATACTGGTATCCAGGCCCCTTTGGTTCTATATACAGGATTTAAATGTAAACTTATTACATTTTTAAATAAATGTTCTACAATACAAACTTCTCTTATACCACATACATCCCCTGCCCCCCACTTTTTTTTAGATTGAAGGTATCATTTAACCTCAAGATGACTAAATCAGTTACAACTTTCCATTAGCTTGTGACATCATTTTTCCCTTTCTCCTACAATCAGATTAGTATTAAGAACTGAAATAATCTTTTCCCAGTGAAAGTCTCATTTTCAATTTAGTAATCTTCAAGCAAAAATAAATTATGCTTCTTCCCAGAAGCAACTCAAATGCAAGGTGTACTGACACCCAGTGTTACTGCTGAAAAGCTACTGTTTAAGAGGTACACGAGTGGTAGGAACAGATCTGACTTTGTAGATGACAGTTACACATCTTCTACACCTCAATATTTATTTCAATATCTGAGTGCTTATAACTTCTACTTCACTGTGTCTACTTAGTGTATTAAATTTACTGGCAAGCATTTAAGTTTCTATAATTGAGTTTTCCACAGAATTAAAATAAAGGCATACATTCTTGGGAACCCTAGGGAAGAAGATAGCACCAGGCCAAAATTTACTGTAAAGAAACCCCAGGTGTCACCTGTGCTACCAAGTGGTACCACGACAAGAAGACAGCAGGGAAGAGGAAGAGCTCCACAGGGAGGATGACAGGGCTCTCTGCCTCCAGCTATAGCTGACTGGTAGTGGACAGAGTGGATAGCAAGCTTCAAATAGCTTACAATCCCAGCAAAAGAGGCTAATGCACTAAGACACAGTATTACCACTCAAAAGCAAAATCATAACCATAGCTCAGTTTCAGGCAAAAAGACCCATCTTGAAGGCTCCCTTTGCCTGCAAGAACAGCATGACAGCTAATGGCAGTTTGGCAAAGTAATTGAAGAAAAAGAAAACTTACCCAGGGTCAAAAACCCCTGGAGTGCGACAGGTTGGTCCAGAACAGGACTGTAACATCATTAACCGATAGTTCATCTTTCCTAAGAGCTCTGGATCTATAGTTTTAGCAATGTTAGTGATTTGGTCTGGGTCTGCAGTCAGATTATAGACTTCCACGAACACCTACAGGATATAAAAGAATGCAAGGAAGAAACAAAAAGGGTCACGCTTGAAGAAATACACCTAATGGGAGTTATTTCTAAATGGGAAGGGAGGAGGCAGGTTAAGAAACCAAGACCCTGGAGAATATCATCTGTTCTGAAGATCCTCAAACAGCCAAACTGCCTACTTGAGACAATGGAGCATCTGTTCTGGGGTTAAATTGCGTCGAGTCGATAGCCTACATGCTGGACGGGGACCTCCAGCACACACTGTGCCTTAAGGCAGTCAGGAAGGGGCACAGGGGAGGACATTTATTACTCTGTGTAATTAAAGCAGAGAACAGAAGGCAGGACCCTCAAATGGCAGTCTCAGAAACAAGACTCAGTAATAAAGTACAGAAATGAGAGTTAACATTTGAAGGTTTACTTTTGCCTTAAAATACTGAAAATTCAATTGAAAATAGATATGAGAGTACTCAAACTTGTGTTGTTCAAATGTTAGGTTTTCCTATTTTAAAAGGCAGTTGTAGACGTACAAAACCAGTTGGGCAGAATACAATATTAATTATCACATCTAACGTTGTTAGGTGCTATCCAGTTGATTTTCATCTCATAGCGACCACATGTGACACAGTAAAACTGCCCCACAGGGTTTTCTAGGCTATAATCTTCATGGGAGCAGACCACCAGGTCTTTTCTCCCACCGAGCCGCTGAGTGGGTTTGAACCGCCAACCTTTAGGTTAGCAGCCGAGCACTTATCCATTGGACCACCAGGGCTCCTTATGTCTAACATTAGACATGTCTAGTGTTAAGTATTTTTTTCCTCTAACTTGCATGCTCTTCTCCAAAGGGGAGTCAAATGATAGGCCAGGAAGACAATCGGCAAATTTTGCCTATAATGGCTTCAAATAGCTGCTCTTAGACTATCACTTATAAAGTCGTTATCAAATTGATAAACATGGAGGTGAGGGGAACAGGAACTGAGTTTGTGATGGCTTCTCAGTAGGAAGGGACTTAACCCAGACTGAAGAAGTGCTCCCACCTGTTGTCCAAAGTGCTTATGAGCTGCAAATGGAATGGTTGAATGAATCAATTTCTGACAGACACAGATGAGAGTCTCTTCCATATGGGTAAGATATGGTTGCCAGATGGGGCAGGTGAGCACACACTGATGAATGGTATGAAATCACAAGGGACTCTAATCCATGTGATCCTTCAGATAATCTACACTGATCTGTGTTGGCTAAAAGACACCTTCTTCCAAGGATGGAGTTCCTGGTTCTGCCTTTGACCCTCCACTGCTAACCTATTTGAGCATCAGAAGACTACTCTGTGTTGAAAACAGAAGTTTCTGAACAAGTCGGGTGCTGGTAAACTTTTTAGAGAATGCCCCAATGGGGTTCACTTCCGCTGAAGTATCTTATGTTCACCCTAAATTACTGGGGAAGCTAACAGACCAGGCACGTATCATTTTGAAAAAGTGAACTGTGTATTTAACGTGTGTGTGTTTGTTGGGGGCGGGGGTAGTGAATAAAACTCCATCTAGAAAGACCACAGTTAGAAAAGTGAGAGACATGGCCTTGTAGAATTGTTTTTCTTAACTCAGGGAAACCTAAGATGAAGTACAGATAAGAAACGGGTTTTCCCTGGGGAGCATATTGGGAATTGTTCTTATGCCACCAAACCTAACGAACAAAGCACTGGCAATAAACAAAACAGGTGAGGGAAGTAGCAGGCGGAAGTCCCTCTTACCTCCTGGTCATCAAACTCGCAATACTGTAAATTCCACAATGCTGATGTTGTCCTCACACAAGCATATGTGTTGTTATAAGAATCTTCACATACGCAGTCTGGGAAACATTGCTGTAGGAATATTTACTAGGTTAATGAATGTCCTTCTCCCATAGTAACAAATACCTAGTTGCCTACGGGGGCAACCAAGCAGGCTTAAGGTGGACACGCAATCTGACAGAAATTAGGAAAACTTCCACAGAAAAACCAGTAAACCAAAAACAAATCTGAGGCTTTGTTCCTTATTGACGGTTAACTTAAGGAACACGTGGTTGCAGACTGTTGCAGTCCCTGTCTAATAATCTCCTGACCAGAAGTATTTGTAATGAACACCTTTAAAATGTATGGTAAAGAGAACAAATTAATACTCAGATGAATCACTTCTAAGGACTCTTAGGAACTGTCTTCCTAGGGGGTTCGAGAAGGCTAATATCACAGGCTAAGATGAGCTTTGGGGAATCATCCACAACTAAGTTATTTATGACTATTCTTATCACCCAACATGACAACTCTTATTTCTTCATGTTTCCCATAGCATGTTATTCCACTTCTGTGGAATCATAACACTTTGGTTTTAGGAGCGCCAACTCCAAACAGAAGCTTATTTCCCATTCTCCAAAGCGAGGCTGACGTGGCTGTTACAGCCTCCCTGACCAGCCTGGCTGCTACCAATGTAAGGCACTCATGATGGCATGGTCACAGCTGGGAAGCCCATCACTACTGGATGCCACTGATAATATCCCTAATCAAAAATGGTACAGATACTGGGAGGGGGTAGGACACAGGTATTGATAAGGTAAGAATATGGGCAGATAGCTGCATTTGTTACAACAACGGGAAAAATTCAAAAGGCACATTGTGACAATAGGTCAGCACCCTCATTTTCAAGATTGCTGGTTTACCTTAGTCCATCTACTAACCACCCACAGTCAAGTGACAAAGACACAGGAGCAAAGCTCAGATTAAGGGTTTCAATAATTGACACATCCAGACCAACACTGTACTGTGTTATCAATGAAAAAGTTGTCTAAGCCAACTCAAGCTATTACTCACGGATACTCCAGGACCCACAGAAGGACATGTTGGGTCGGAGACATTATGGCCTTCTCCTTGATACTCCACCAGGATATCTGATCGCCAGGTCACATTACTAGCTCCTCTCTAGAAATAAGAGAAAGGTGGTTTCTGTTAGGCATACAGACTATGATAAGAATCACAAAGTTATTTACCGTACAACTAAAGAAGACTCAGGCGTAAAAACTAATTGGACGATTCATTCAGTAACTAAAGGGAATGACTAAAACAGATGCATATGAAGGCTACTGAGTACTGTGTCTGGTATTTATAGAGCCCTTACAAGTGACAGTCGAATGCTCTGAACATTTAATAATTGCTCTCCAAGGCTATTGCTATGAAGCAGGTCAGGAATGAAAACTGACAAAGCAGCTACACAAGGATTAAAATTACACAGCAAGTTGCTGAAAGTCCAGATTAGAACACACAAGATTGTGTATATGCTCTATACAAGAACTGTCCTAAGCTCATACCCCAAGAAGCTTATAACCTAGCAGACACAAAAACAATCAATCAATAAATATGGAACAGGGCTGATTGTGCTAAGGACTACAACAGGTTCAAAGTACCTCCCGATGTTCAGAATGAAAACATAATACGTATATTAACTCATTTAACCTTCACAGCACACTGGTAGCATAGAAGGAAAGCAGCAGCACCATTTGAAATGGGAAAGTTTAAGACAGGCACACAGATGATAAAAGGAGGAAGAATCCAGGAGTAAGGGGCAGTTTGGGATCAAAGGAACAACATGAGTATAGGATGGTAGTGTGCTTTCCTGAAACATGTTTTTCAGACAAGTAAGCAATGCAAAGTCAGGGCAGAGAGGCAGGCTGGTAACCAGACTGGAAAAGGCCCTGCACATCAGGCTGCACATTTCCTTCAATGAAGAAGAGCAGGTGATGAGACAAAGTTTTTGAGCAGGAAAGTAACACAACCAAGTCTGTGCTTTAGAAAAGTCAGCCCTGTGGCAGAATGGAATGGAATGGAATGGAGAGAGGGAGACCAAGTTAGGAGGTACTCTTAAAATGGTCTAAAATCTTACTATTAAAAGTCTGGTCTAAAGGAAAAGATTAGTCCGAAGGACTAATTGTCCACAGCTACCAAGGCCTCCACTGGACTGAGTCCAGTACAGCTAGATGGTGCCCGGCTACCACCACTGACCGCTCTGACCAGGATCACAACAGAGGGTTCTGGCCAGAGCTGGAGAAGGATGTAGAACGTAATTCTAACTCACAAAAAAAACACCAGATTTACTGGCCTAAAGGAGACTGGAGAAACCCCGAGAGTATGGCCCCCAGACACCCTTTTAGCTCAGTGGTGAAGTTATCTCTGAGGTTCACCGTTCAGCCTGGAAGTGGACAGCCCTGTAAAACCAAATGAGACTAACGAGGTACAGGAGTCCAGTGACAGGGGCCAGAAGGCAGAAGGGGACAAGGAAGCTGGTGATAGGGAACCCAAGGTTGAGTACGGATATTGTTGATGTGTTATGAGATTGTTAACCATTGTCATAGGGCAACATTTGTAGTAACTGTTAAATGAGAAACTATTTTGTTCTGTAAACCTTCATCTTAAGTGAGAATAACAGCACAATTGGAAGAGCGTAGTCAATGTCACTGAACTGTGCATGTAGAAATTTTTGAAATGGTGTATCTTTGGCTATGCGTATTTTCACCAAAAAAAAGGTTGAGAAGTTAGAGGGTTGACATGTTGTGGGGTTGTTAACCAATGTCATAAAACAACATGTGTACTACTGTTTCATGAGAAACTATTTGTTCTGTAAGCCTTCACCTGAAGTACAATTTAAAAAAAAAAAAAGAAAAAAGCCTGGTCTATCAGTAACACCTGGGAGCTTGTTAGAAATGCAGAATCTCAGGCCCTACTCTAGCCCTAAGGAGCCAGAATTTGCATTTTAATAAAATCCTGTGGTAATTCAAACTCGTTGCCTTCAAGTCAATTCTGAGTCATAGTGGCCCAAAGGACAGACCAGAACTGCCCCAAAGGGTTTCCAAGGAGTGGCTGGTGGATTCAAACATGCCAACCTTTTAGTTAGCAGCCAAGCTCTTAACCACCGTGCCACCAGGGCTTCGTGGTGATTCAGATGCACATTAAAATTTGAGAAGCACTGCTCTAAAACTGGTTCTCAAAATGTGATGCAGAGAACAGCAGCATTAGTATCACTTGGGAACTTGTTACAAATGGAAATTCTCAGGTCTCAATGGGGATGGGAAGCAATCTGTGGTTTAACAAGCCACACAGGTATTTCTAATGAATGCTAGTTTGAGAACCACTGCTCTCAAGAACCAGTGCTCAGTAACCTGGCCACTGCAGTAGCGAAGGGGCGGTAGCCTTGTGCAGGGCTTTGAGTGCCAGAGCTACCCAGGGAGGGAGTCTGTTGTTCTACAATAAAACCTGAACAATCCTGTGTGGCTCAGGGTCTCAGCAGTCATGAGTCACAGGAGACTTCAGAAGCCGCCGACTCCTCTGTAAGTGCTCACTCTGCCAATCCTGAGCCCTGGAAGCTGGGAGTCAGGGCAGAACTTATCTGTTAGACCTGAATAGACTTCAAAACCCGACAGTTGAGTGTCAAAGTGTCCAGAGGATAAGAGAGTATCTAGGGAGTCTAGACCAGCGGTTCTCAAACTTTGCTGCATATCAGAATCACCATGGAGCTTTAGAAATCCCAAGAGCCAGGTTGTATCTCATGGCAATTAAATCAGTCTCTGGAGGTGTGCCAGTTATTCACTGAAGAAAGTTAAAAGATATACAATTTCTCGTAACTGACCTACAGATTCAATGCAATTGCAATCAAAAGCCCAATGTGATTTTTCAGGTAATCTGAAAAGCTGATTCTAAAATTTATATAGAAGACTTCTACAGGTGATAAAGGCCTCCTTCAGTTAAACATTTCCTTTATCACCACTTAAGTAATCCTTTTGCATTCACTTTTGGCCATTTTTAATTCTTCTGTGACTTGATTAGTCATCGTATCTGTCTTGGAAGAAGTACAGCCAGAATGCTTAGAACCAAGGATGGCGAGAGTTCGTCGCACATACTTCAGACGTGGTATCAGGAGGGACAAGACCCTGGAGAAGCACATGCATGGGAAAGTAGAGGGTCAGTGAAAAAGAGGAGGGCCCTCGATGAGGACTGACACAGTGGCTGTAACAATGGGCTCAAACACAGCAACGACTGTGAGCACGGCGAAGGATCGGGCGGTGTTTCGTTCTGTTGTATGTAGGGTCACTGTGAGTTGAAACTGACTCGAATGCAACAACAATCTTCTGCCCATTTTTCTCCTGTGACATTAATCTTAGATTTCTAAGAACTCACATATTAGGACTAACTACCCTTTTCCACATATGTTGCAAATATTTCCCTAATTTGTCACTTGTCTTGATTTTCTTTATGATGGGAGTTTTTTGGGGGAAGGGGAAGGCATAGAACTCTAAGGTTTATATGTGGTCCATCAGTCCTTTCTTTTAGAAAACTCTTTCCCACCACAAGATCAGAGAAAAAGGCTATTCCCTGCCCTCAGAATGGTTGTACTTAGTTTATTTCAGAATCTTGGCTCAGGCCTGATCGAGGATTTTATACTTACCAATATGGGCAAGAAAGACATCCCGTCCATCTGTGTCCTATTCAGATCATAGCCAGCGATGTCCAAGATAGTAGGTCCCAAGTCAATGTTGGCAACAAGCATCTATGACAGTGAAGAAAAAAAATCTAGAACACAAGTGTTTCTATTCTTCCCCATTCTATCTAACTAAAATAACATCAAATAGCAAAACCTGCAGAGATATAAAATAGTGATTGCCAGTATCATCAGGAACTGCCTCAATATATGTATTTATTCCAACTACTCTGCTACTGATGAAAACTTTTTTTAAAAAACTCTCTTGGACTGCCTTAAGTTCATTTATGAATCATGAGAAAACTGTCAGTCTATTTTATAGATAAAGTGTTTTGTTGTTTGCCGTTGAGATGATTTCATATCACGGCAACCCTACAGGACAGAGCAGAAGTGCCCCATATAGTTTCCTAGGCTGTAATCTTTACAGGAGCAGATTGCCAGGTATTGTCGCCCGAGGAGCAGCTGGTAGGTTTAAACCACCGACCTTGCGTTAGCAGGCGAGCACTTAACCACTGTGGCACCAGGGCTACTCTGAAAGTGTCTTACAATCTGACTATTCAGATTACTTCACTAAATTTTACTTCAAATGAA